TGGGCCTCCTTTAGATTGAGGATGATATCCGTCACCACTATCCATCGTGAAAATATAGGAGTACTGCGTCATTCCCAACAATGGACGATGCTCCTCATAACTAACAACATGCACCTCCTTCGGATTGAGCCAGCATTCATTGTGGAAATATAGAGAGGACTGAGTAATTTTCAATTATGGACGATGCCCCTTGTGACTAACTATTTGGAACTCCTTCAGATTGAGGGTGATGTTCGCCACCCCACCGTCCATTGTGAAAATAGAGGCAGGACGGGTCATTCCCAACTATAGACGATGCCCCTTGTGTTGCTTGGCTGTGACTCTTAGTCGATAACACAAGTTAGAAGAAGTTGTAAAGATCTCTGTCTTAATTTATTCGGGAGAATGGATGATCAGCCATGCACATACGTGCAATCGCGCACAATGTCTAGAAGCAGTAACACCCTTGTGACTAACAAAATGGACCCCTTTCAGTTTGAGGGTGATATTCGCCATTCCACTATCCATTGTAGAAATATCGAGAGGACTGAGTAATTCCCAACTATAGGCGATGTCTTTTGTGACTAACTATGTGGGCCTCCTTTAGATTGAGGATGATATCCGTCACTCCACTATCCATCGTGAAAATATACGAGTACTGAGTCATGCCCAACAATGGACGATGCTCCTCATAACTAACAACATGCACCTCCTTCGGATTGAGCCAGCATCCATTGTGGAAATATAGAGAGGACTGAGTAATTTTCAATTATGGACGATGCCCCTTGTGACTAACTATTTGGAACTCCTTCAGATTGAGGGTGATGTTCGCCACCCCACCGTCCATTGTGAAAATAGAGGCAGGACGGGTCATTCCCAACTATAGACGATGCCCCTTGTGTTGCTTGGCTGTGACTCTTAGTCGATAACACAAGTTAGAAGAAGTTGTAAAGATCTCTGTCTTAATTTATTCGGGAGAATGGATGATCAGCCATGCACATACGTGCAATCGCGCACAATGACTAGAAGCAGTAACACCCTTGTGACTAACAAAATGGGACCCCTTTCAGTTTGAGGGTGATATTCGCCATTCCACTATCCATTGTGGAAATATCGAGAGGACTGAGTAATTCCCAACTACTATTGTATCGAGCTTCGTTTTCAGTGTGGTGTTTCGTTGGATGTCTAATAACTTCAGCATCCATCGAATATGTTTCAAACAAGCGTCCACATGCAAAGAGCATGTCCCTGTTACGAATATATCCATCCAAGACATTCTCCAACCCTCATTCTCGCAGCCTCATCGTCTCGCTGGCTATGTGTACCTCCCTGAGACATGGCTACCGCGTTCCGGACTTGTCGCAAATGAGGTGCCATTTTTCATGGGCAATTGTGTATGTGTGCGCAAAGGGAGTGAGGGTTGCAGATCGGCCACATTAGCGCATGCGTGCAGAATAAGCCCAGCTACGCGGGGGAAGGGCGAGTTCAAGGACAAATAGGCCTTCGTGATGAAGGAGCGGAATCCACGTCTATGGACTCAATCAATGAATTTTACATAGGTCCCCGGTTTGATCCCCGGGTAGGACATTTCTCCATCATTAAAGCTTTTCGTGCATATCTCTTCGATCGGCTCGCATAATCTAGTTTTCCCATTTTCCCCAACACCTCCGCATACAGAGGAGTTATTTGATTTAGCTGATAGCCTCCCACGCTTCGTAGTTAAGCCAGAATAACTCTGCACGCACGCACGCACGCACAACGCGAAAGTGCCTGTTGTTACGGTATATGCTCCGCTCGCTTGGCTCGCTCCGCGACTGCGGTTCTACAAGGATTCTTGTTATGATCATGGTGACCACAGCCACCAGCATCAACGACAACCACTGGAGTCACAGGCACAGCCTGAGAACCTTCAATAAAGGCTGAGACCGCTAACTTGGAGAACTTGGTAAATCTTGCACTTCCTCAACAGCGCGTTTTGTGCACTTGGCAAAATCGAGGAAAACGGCCAACCCCGAAAACCCTCCGATTGCAAAGCGTGAAGCACTGAGGGCTTGCGGGGCGGCCGTAGGCCGCCCTCCGTACCAGTTACTGAGTGGATAAACTTTCGAGGTGATTGGTGCCGGTGAACCCTCTCACTGGTGCGGGTGAGCCCTCCACGCCGACGACGATCAAATCAGATTCTGTCACGCGCCACGAAATTAAACTGTATGATGAACGTTGTCATATCATTATTACCAGTTCCCTGTTGTTATTGTTGATGTCCTTATCGAGGAAGGCCTTGCTGCGAGTAACACCACCATTATCATCACGATATCTTTCTGTATTATCATCCCAAGTAGCAGCAGTATTATCCTCGAGGTTTTGGTATGTTACAAGGGGGCATCATCAACATCATTCAACACTACTACCATCATCATATGATAGTGAGTATTCATTAGATTTATTATATTATTATAAGTATCAACAGGTGGTGGTGCCAATAGTCTTCCTCCTAAGCTATGCCCACTAATTGGGGACTCTTTTGTTTATCATCCTCCTACTAGTACTTCACGGTACTATTATTGAGTGTAGGAATGTGGTATAATTAGTGTATAGGTATGGTGTATTGGTGGATCGATGGAAGGTATTACTAAGTAGCCACCTACCTAAAGGGTTTGAGAAGTTTACCAATCCTCGCCCAACACCCCGACAAAAAGAGGAGGAGAAGGAGGAAGATGATAAGCCTACTACTACTCAGGGTAGTAGTAGTAAGAAGGATGATGATGGTCATACTACAGAGCAGGATAGGAAGGATAATGTACTACGATCAGTAGGATCTACCATTAGTAGTATTATTCAGCAGACACCCCGACCATCACGACCACGATCATCATCTACAGGAGGTGATGGTGGTGGTAGTAGTAGCGGTAAAAAGCCTCAGCCTCCATCACAAGGCATCAATAGTATACAGACAGGCTTGGCTGTTGGCTTCCTACTCTATCTAATGGTAAGAATGATAATATCCATCTCATCGTCGTGGAATAGCTCTCTTCTTAGTATTCTGCTGCTACTACCGAAGTCAGTACTGGAGATCTGTCCTTCCAAGACTTCCTCAATGAGTTTTTCTTGAAGGGTAATTATATTAATTACAAGTATATTGCATGAATTAGTGTTCTTAGGTTATGTTGATCACATAGAAATAGTTAATAAGAGTATAGCAAGAGTTTATATCAGACCTGATGCCCCTGCTCCCTACAGCGGTCAAAGGTAGTCATTATCGTAGTCTCAGTAGTCTATACGGGTAATGTTATGTTGTTGTTGTTGTTCAGATATACCATTCAACTTGGATCAGTTGAGCATTTTGAGAATAAGTTAGAGCAGATTCAGGCTGGACTAGGTTTATCAGTTCAGGAATATACACCAGTTATGTATATTACTGAGCGTG